ACATGTTGTGAACATGTCTAGATCAACCACAAAATTCAACTCCCATGCCCCGAGACCAGCATCACATGGTTCGATCTAACAGTCATAATCGGATTCGATTGTCCAGTCGATCCTAAGACTGTGAATATCAATTTTTAAACTACATCAAAAGAGTTTGTCCGGCAGGGATCCCCTTTCTCTTCTTTCGTTGATAACAGTTTATGGACTAAGCAATATTACTAACATTCTTGAATATGAGTCAAAACATAACTTTATTTTATTTATAAACATCAGCAAAAATAATGATGTCCGATATTTGCCATTTCATAAATAACAAAATACACCATACTTTATAGACACATTTCCAACAGTAGGCATGGCAACCAAAATGGCAAATGTTGAAAAAGCAGAAGAGCTCCTAGAAAAGCTTCGCAATGCATCTTGGGATGCTGCAATTCAAGGTGGGGTATTCAATATTTATGAACATGACATATAAATAGTGCAAGTTTATTGAATAATTTTGAAAATATAATCTTTATAGTAATTCATCTTCTGTTGAATAATTCTGTAAATTATTCAACAATTATTGCTTTTTGTGTTTTTCTGTGGTATTCAACTAGTTTCATTTCCAATCCTCTTAGAATTCTGTTTGTCTTGAGCAACTCATGTAAATCAAACCAGACTTCACAGTGTTTTCTCTTTTCACAGTTTGATGCCATTTTTTGCAAGCATGCGCAGAATAATGTACTGAGTGTGTCTGCAGAATTTCAGATAGTTTTGACGTCGTTTCCTATTTTATTTGATTTTTCAAAGACGAAAAATAGAAAAAAATCATAAAAAACAGAATACTCATCAAAACATGATGCCGCATGTCGCATAATTTCTTAAAAATCATGCATTGATTTTAGGACGCAAAAGATGTAGAAATAGTGAATTCGTTTTGCCCCACCCCTGCCAATCGGCGCCCCACTGCGCTAGCGGGAGACTTTTTGATGAATATTCTATTTTTTATGATTTTCTTTATTTTTCATCTATAAAAAATATAACAAAATAAAAACAAAGTAAAAAAATAATAAAATTTTACAGACACGATCTTTACATTTTTCTAGGCGTGCTAAAAAAATGGCCTAAAAAATAAACCACCGCCGGTTTATGGCTCCAGAAACAAAATTATGTAGAAATGATTCCAGCCTTTTTGGTTAAGCTGCGCAATTTACCAACAGTAATTATTAAACGACGTCGTTTAAAATAAACCACCGCCAGTTTATGGCTCTAGAAACAAAATTATGTAGAAATGAATCCAGCCTTTTTGGTTAAGCTACCCAATTTACCAACAGCACTTACTAAACGACATCGTTTAAAATAAACCATTGTCGGTTTATGGCTCCAGAAACAAAATTATGTAGAAATGAATCTAGAAAAAATAGGAATAAAATAAAAATAGGTTCAGAAAAGAATTAAAAATGAAAGAATAAATAAGTTTTAGAACAGCATCAAAAAGAAATATCTAAGTATAGTAGCATTTGTAAAAAAAAAAAAAAAAAAAAATTAGTATATGAAAGAGAAAAGTTAAAAAAAGAAATATCTAAGTGGCGTGATTCTGATTCTGCTATAGTATTTTTTCTCTCATAAAGAATGAATAAAAAAAACTATCAATAGTTATCTCACAAAAAATTTGAATATGAATTAAAATCACAAACTTAAACGCGTGAACCAAACGGATCCTTTACGTGTATACATGTTCAAGTAATATATATCTTACCACTAAAAATGGCCTAAAAAAAAAAACCACCGTCGGTTTATGGCTCCTGAAACAAAATTATGTAGAAATGATTCCAGTCTTTTTTGTTAAGCTGCCCAATTTACCAACAACAATTATTAAACGACGTTGTTTAAAATAAACCATCGTCAGTTTATGGCTCCAGAAACAAAATTATGTAGAAATGAATCCAGCCTTTTTGGTTAAGCTGCCCAATTTACCAACAACAATTACTAAACGACGTCGTTTAAAATAAACCACCATCGATTTATGGCTCTAGAAATAAAAGTTAAAAAAAGAAATATCTAAGTAGCGTGATTCTGATTCTGCTACAGTATTTTTCTCTCATAAGGAATGAATAAAAAAAACTCTATCAATAGTTCTCTCACAAAAAATTTGAATATGAATTAAAATCACGAACTTAAACGCGTGAACCAAACGGATCCTTTACGTGTATACATGGTTCAAGTAATATATATCTTACCACTAGAAATGGCCTAAAAAATAAACCATCGTTGGTTTATGACTCCTGAAACAAAATTATGTAGAAATGATTCCAGCCTTTTTTGTTAAGCTGCCCAATTTACCAACAACAATTATTAAACGACGTTGTTTAAAATAAACCACCGTCGGTTTATGGCTCCAGAAACAAAATTATGTAGAAATGAATCCAGCCTTTTTGGTTAAGCTGCCCAATTTACCAACAACAATTACTAAACGACGTTGTTTAAAATAAACCACCATCGATTTATGGCTCTAGAAACAAAATTATGTAGAAATGAATCCAGCCTTTTTGGTTAAGCTGCCCAATTTACCAACAGTAATTACTAAACGACGTTGTTTAAAATAAACCACCGTCGGTTTATGGCTCCAGAAACAAAATTATGTAGAAATGAATCCATTTAGTCAGCCTTTAGGTTGGGCTGCCCAATTTATGGGAAAGTATGATTAGCTACACCGGATTTGGTCAGTGGTGCGTCATCCACATCTTCGGCACGTAGTGAATTGGAAAACTATCTAAAACAAATTTTGCGGCATTCATTTTCAATGAGCAAGGTGGTGGTCATGATTTCAATAAGTTTGATATTTTGTCATTTTGGAGATCACAGTCAAGAACTTTTCCTGTGCTCTCTAGAATGGCACGTGATATACTAACCATACCAGTGTCCACAGTTGCAAGTGAACAAGTATTTAGTTGCAGTGGTAGAGTACTTGATGAACGGCATGCACGCTTGAGTGACGATATTCTGGAGGCAGTAATGTGCGTCGAAGATTGGGAGGACGCTCGCAGAAGAAGCCAACAAGTTCAAGATGATTGGGTTGATGATTTTGAAAATTTAGACATTTCTGATACTCCAACTGGGAGTAATACATTATAATTACGAACAATATCTATTTTTTATGTATTTTATGTTTTTTTCTTTGTTTTGGTAATTTTGTAAACATCTTATGTATAATTATTCTGATTGTACTCTTTTTTCCTAAGGTTTTATCCCACTCAGTTTTCCTTGGAAAGGTTTTTAATGAGGCAATCGTAAATAAAATATATCTTTTCATATTCCCATTGACTATTCAAACATTTATTTTTGTTAACTTGTTTAAAAATAAAAAAATTAAAAATTACATACATAGATGGGCTGGCCCATCTAAACCCATGATGGGCCAAGATGGGCCTTAAATGAGCCAGCCCATCTAAAACCATGATGGGCCAATATGGGCCAGCCCATTCAAGACCCACGGCATGGCCCATCCTGGCCCACGGCACGGCCGGCCCGGCCCACGGCCCATGTGGGCCTAAGAAGAACAGGCCGGGCCGGCCCGTTCTTGCATCTCTAAGTTCAGGGCCTGGGATGGGTAAAAACTTTACATTTTTTTTTCTTTTTTTTGCCTTCTAAAATTAATATCTGAATTTTAGAAATTAATGCAACAACCGGCACCATTTTTTGATGAATATTCTATTTTTTATGAGTTTCTTTATTTTTTGTCCTTAAAAAATATAATAAAATAAAAATGACGTCAAAAAATAATAAAATTTTACAGACATGATCCTTATATTTTTCTAGGCGTGCTAGAAAAAAATGGCCTCAACAAATGATAAAAAAAAAGTAAAACGTGGTAAAAAAGCCCTCGACCTGTGTAGTGAGGCGCCCAAGGGCCAGTTCAGGACCCGAGATGGGTAAAAGCTTTACATTTTTTTTCTTTGTTTTTTTTGCCTTCTAAAATTAGTATATGAATTTTAGGAATTAATGCAACAATCGGCACCATTTTTTGATGAATATTCTTTTTTTTATGATTTTTTTTATTTTGTGTCTTTAAAAAAAATATAATAAAATAAGAACGACCACAAATAGAGAAAATCATAAAACACGGAATACTCATCAAAACATGATGCCGCCTGTCGCATCATTTCTTAAAAAATCATGCATTGATTTTAGGATGCAAAAGATGTAGAAATAGTGAATTCGTTTTGACCCATCCTTGCCACTCGGCGCCCCATTGCGCTAGCAGAAGACTTTTTGACATCGTTTCTTATTTTATTTGATCAATCCTTATAAGACATCAAAAGTCAAATGATTTTAATTAACAAATCAATAGTTATTTGGATTGCCAAAACAACCTTTAAAAATTAACAGCCCTCAACACGGTGTTCACTATAACACAATATATACGTAAGGGCATGTTGGGGATTTCGTTTGAAAATTAAGCAATGTAATTCTACAAAATTTGATTTGTTATAAAGCTTTAGTTGTGATGGGGACTGTATTCATATTTCAGTCTTGTTCACTTATTACTATAAAAAATACATGTTTCTATAATTAATATACATTGTCGCTTACGTTCATTAACATGAAATACAACAAATTAGCCAATATACATATTTTTATGCTATATATTCGCTTAATTACTATAAAATATATATATTTTGAGGATTAATATACATTGTCATTTTTTATAACTTAATATATACATCTTTATATATAAATATATACACAAATCACATATAAATATACACACTTCAATAAAAAATATATAAGTGTCATTCTGATCAGATATTTTCTAAGGGTCTCACCAGAGATTTTGTCAAAAAAAAAAAAATACTAAGAACATGTTTAATATATTATACGGCACCAAAATTATTTTATTTTATTTTTTTTATGTTTTTGTATCGTTGTTCACCATAACCTCTTTGCTTTGTTCGCCGAGTTTCAAACGGAACTTGGAAGAAACTCTCTAAACCCAAACCCCTTCCATCATCTTAACACCCATTCTCACTAAGAAGCAGAAACAATGGCCGCAAAAAGGGAACTTTCTCAAAAGCCCATCCTCAGAACTCTCACAACTTTAGAACTGAGTTTTCGGGGTCCTCTTCTTCTTCTCCTCAAAAAACCCAGCAATTTTAATGGCAACTTCATCTCTTTTTGTACTCAGATTATCTCTAATTCCCTCTCCTAATCACTTTTTTCCACCTTCAAACCTTCACAAAATCTTTCAACTTTCTTCACCATTTCTCACCTTTCGTACCTCTACTTTCGGCTTCAAGCGCCTAATTCCACTGGCAGCAGCATCAGGTAGGTGCTCCAGCATTCATTTACGGCTTCTTGGTACTCAATTTCAGTAAGAAATTTGGCAATAAAATCAACTCGAATCTGAAATATGAGCGATTCTCTCTGTTTTCATGCATATTAATTGGTACTTTCTGGAGGGAGAAACTCTGTTTTAACACACATGTTAGTTTCATAAGATCATAGTTAAGGTAAACTTCAATCCTGATTCAACAATTTCTGAAAATTGAATTTTCGTCTAATAAAACTAATCAAAAGGCTTCATCAAGTGGTTAGAACTTAGTAAATTGCATTTATTTGCCTTTTTTATGCTCTCAAATTATTATGGTGAAATTAGTTAGGCAGAAAAATTTTAGGTCTTGTTGTGATCTTTTTGTTATTTAACTTCGGTGGCTTGTTCCTGTTTTGGGCGGGAAAAGATGCCGTCTGTGTGACTGAAATTTCGCTTGCCTTTGTATGAGAAATCAGCTTTTAATGTTATTATTGTGGCTATAAAATATATGTGCTAGTTTTCTCTATTGAGTTTTATTAATTTTTACGGTTAACTTTTGTATGAATTGTTCTAAAATTATCTTTTCTCAGCTTCGTTTAGTGCTGGAAGTGGTTGTCTTGGAACTCTTCAAATTCAAGAAGCCTACAGATGCCCCAACAAGGAACCAGTTTCATCAGATTCTATATCCGATTCTTTCCTTTCTGAGAAAATCTTACTGGGTTTAAAGCAAGGTAACCTGATCTCCGTGCATAACTATATATATCGAATAAACCCATTAGTTGTAGTCGAGGTTCTTAGCTGCTGTGAAAATTTGCAACTGAGTGTGAAGTTTGTTGATTTAATTTTGTTGAATTGTCCGCACATGAGGCATTCTTCACAGTCCTTGAGTGTGATGATTCATGTTTTGGTGCGTGGTCGGAGGTTATCAGAAGCACAAGTTTTGGTACTTAGAATGGTGAGGAGGAGTGGCATTTCGAGATTCGATGTTGTTGAGTCTTTGGTCTCAACGTATCATAGCGGTTGTGGCTCGAACACTTTGGTGTTTGATTTGTTGGTTAGGACTTATGTGCAAGCTAAGAAGTTAAGAGAAGTGTAGCGCCCCTCTTTTGAGGCCGCCACTGTAACTAACTTTTTAATTTGTACTTACTGAAATTTCTTAAAATTTACGGAACGTTTTTTTTTTTTTTTTTT